GGTTAAAAAAAAAAAAGAAACGATGCATTGTCAATGTTGTCCAAGTTACTTGACCTGAAATCTCACTCTCCCATATTCACCAGCGTAAAAATCTTGACTGAGCCCTTCACGCGATTCAACGTTACTGTAAAACACCTGAAAGGATTCGCAAAAATGATGGGCTACACAAAAGAAAGGGTGGTAGCTTCAGGATAATGCCAATTTTACGAAAAATACCTTTTATCATGCAATCACCGATATAGTCCATGATAGCCACTATGTTAAACTTTTTGAACTCACAAACTGCATTTACAAAGGACACATTAGAGCAGAGCTGGACGGTTTTGATATTGAGGAAAGTGTCCATCTCAACGTTCGCTTTGTAATCAGAAGGGAACGATGAGAGCTTGGCATGGTCAATATCAACAAAGAAATACAGACCACTAGGGTAAAATTTTGACCTGTAACTTACACTATGTGATCTTTACGGTGGGTTTTAACAATCCGCTACTTACCAGGTGGAATAAACAACTAGAAGCCGAGCAATAGGTGATTTTACAACAGATCTCTATCACAAGCCCTGCCACTTCCTCAGCGTTTGAAAGCTTCGTACAGCTTTCGCGTTGTGACCTAGAGGAACGCACTTCGCTGTTCCGTTTTACTCCCCCGTTTACAACGTAATATGTGTTGCGTTTGGTATTTTCTTGGAGCTTCCATTCTAAGTAAAATTATATTGACGTCTGTGTATATGCCATGCAATTTCTATTCCAATCAATGTATTTTACCATTTATTTTTGGTTGCTGCATTCCAAGCCTCTGTTTGAAACACGCATGCGGGGGAAGTGAATGTAACAGCAGACTGCAGATTCCACAGATCATTGAATGTGTCTTTCCTGTCACCGACAGCACTTCGGAAGGGGAGGGCGTGGGGGTGAGGGGGGTGGGTAGTGGTTGGCTATTGTCGGAGCGCTTGTTACATCAATCTGTTTAAAGACAAAGACCAGGTGGATTTAACAAAACCGATTTTTAATCTATCGCTCATTGTGATCAGGCGCGGTGTTTACAAAGTAAGCTCACGGTATAATAAAACGTGGCGGTGTTGTTTTACCGAGCCGTCGGCCAACTACATACTGGAGTCGTTTAGCACTGAAATCAGTTTCGCTGATAATGATAGATTTCTAAATCTATTATTATTGCTACCGCGACTGTATAAATGAGGTGTATAATTAGTCTTTAGCAGGAAACGGTGGGAAGAATGGCTTTGAAGCACATAATTTGAAGAAAAGGCAGGCATGTAGGAGGATGGGGTCGAGATCTCGTAAAGACTTCCCTTTATCGAGAGAATTAAAGCTCGAAAAATAGGCCTCAATACGATTACATGTAGATCTAGATCTAGTAGAGTAGGATTTTGTACGTTTTTGTGTTCTTCTGCCTCTAGATTCTAGATATAGAGATATAGATTTCTAGAATATTTTTTGTGTCGGAATTTAGACACTAACGTGTGTGTGTGTGTGTGTGTGTGTGTGTGTGTGTGTGTGTGTGTGTGTTTGTTGGTTTTTGTTTGTTCACTTCAGAACAGCTGTCGACAAGATGAGCTTACTCTAATCAGTCTAATGTCCCTAAAATATGGTAAAAGTAGCAGGCCTTTAAAAAGACACCTCTGTGAAATTCGTCTTATTTTGCTCCTAGTCACTTTCAGTGTAGGCCCTAGGCTATATATAGGTTACAAACTTATTCTTCATTTAGAATCGTTGCCGCTCAAAGATGGTACCGGTGGCTACGTTGTCCTTGTCATACCAAGGGCTTTTTCGTAACTGTTACTTTACTGAGAAGACAAAGGAAGACAAAGGTTTCCTTAACTGATACTTTACCGTAGACAAGGTCTTCTTAACTGATAGCTCTAGATCTACTTTACGAAAGACAAAGGTTATCGACACTTTACCAAAGACTTCATAGATGCCTCCTTTAGTTGATGTCTGGTCGTCTCGCTCGTCAGCGTGTGGGTGGGGACAGGTCGAGAGGGTTTGATGTGTGTGTGTGTGGGTG